AGAGACTTCCCATGGAGGACCCCTGGGCCTCCTGGTCCCACATCACCCCTGGACCCTCATTTCATGACTTCAAGCTACATGGAAAAGGGTGGATCAGGTGTTCCCAATGATGTCCATGGTTCTTAGGCACTCTGGAGGGGCCTTGGCTGAGTCTTCGCTCAATATCAGCCTTAACATGCAGCAGGGACATCCCCGATGTCACCACCTTGTCTTTCATCCCTTTCCATCCCTTACTCCAGCATCCATCCGGGCCCTGGAGTTATCCAGCCTGGCCTTGGGACCCTCAGAACAAAAATCTGCAAATTCCTCAGTCTAGGGCCCCTGCTGGGCTGAGGACGCCCAGGTCTTGATCAGGGACTTGTGTCCTTGGCTGGCTGCTTCATCCTGTGGCCCTGATGGCTCCCAGTCCCCGGCCACCAGACAGACCTCCCTCCTGGGCCCCACCTCTTTTGGGGCCCTTGCATTTCCCTTTTCTTCATTGGAGGGGACTTCTGCATTTTCCAGGAGCCAGCAGGGGTGGGGCGTCCTTGCCCTAAGTGAGAAAATGCTCTGTGGTAAGAGCAGTGGGTGGGAATGCTGGGAACTGGTGACAGAAGGGTGGTAGAACTCCTGCCTAGACTCCCCCAGTGAGGGGCAGGGCCGTGGCTCAGTGGTAGAATACTGGTCTAGCATGTCCAAAGCCCTGGCTTCCATTGTTAGTCCTAAAAATAAGAAGAGGGGAGAGAGAGAGAGAGAGAGAGAGAGAGAGAGACAGAGAGAGAGACAGAGAGAGAGAGAGAGATAAAAGACAGGAAAGAGGGAAATAAATTTGGTCAGAGCTGCCCTAAGGCCCTGTCGCCATGAGGGCACAGAGGTTGGTGGGTAGTTGGAAAAAGCTACCATGAGAGCAAGCAGGGTATGTTGGAGGTGTTTGACGACCTGAGCTCAAAACAGCTCCAGGTTCTCTGGGTCCCTAGGAGGCTCCCTATTGTCTGCCAGGTCCTTGGCCTCCCTGTGAGCTTGGTCTCTTCCCATGAAACCTTGAAGCGACAAGTGGGTAGGAGGGTGGCTTGGTGGCAGCTGATTGGAGGCTGGGTGGACCCCTGACTATAGCCGCTGCACACACCAGATTGGGCCCCTGCTGGTCTCAAGGTGTGGGTGGACAGGGAAGGGTAGCAGCACTTTCAAGGAGGGAAACAGACCTGGTAGGTGGTGCATACCTGTAATCCCAACTCTTGGGCGGTTAAGTCAAGAGGATCAAGTGTTTGAGACCAGTGTAGGCCACATGGTGAGTTCCAGACTAGTCTGGATTACACAGGGAGACCTTACCTCCAAAAATCCCAGAACCTTCCCACAAAAGAAGGAAACATGGGGCTCAGCAGTTAAGACCACTGGCTGCTCTTGCAGAGGACCTGGGTTCAGTTCCCACATGGTAGCTAACAACTGTCTGTAACTCCAGTTCCAGGGGATCTGATGCTCTTTTTTGGCCTCCCCCACTTAGATATCAGTGGTATGCCCAGGCACAGGAGGAAACCAGCAGGGAGCCCAGTGGCCCTACGTGTGTGTGTGTGTGTGTGTGTGTGTACATGTTGGTGCCTAGTTGGTGCCTACAGGAGCATATGCACATATGTGTACATGCATGTAAAGGCTAGAGGGCAACCTCAGCCATCCCCCTTAGTTGCTCTCCACTTTTAAAACATTAATTTATTGTGTATGTATGTGCATGTGTGTGTGTGTGTGTGCGCGCGCATGCACGCACGCATGCATGCACATGCCATGGGTGTGGGTGTCAAAGGACAACTTTTGAGAGTTAGTTCTCTCCTTCACCATGTGGGTCACAGGGATCTTACTCAGGTCATGAGACTTGGTAGCAAGTGCCTTTATCAACTGAGCCATCTCTCCAGGCCCCCTCCTTATTATTTTGAGGCAGGGTCTCTCACTGGCCTGAAGTTCACTGAGTAGTCTCAGCTGGCTGATCATCAAGCCTGGGGATTCTCCAGTCTCTGCTTTCCCAGCACTAGGACTACAAGAGCCTGCTTTAATTTATGATGATACGTTTAAGTGTGTATGTATGTGCATGTGCGTGCAAGTGCCCACAGAGGCCAGAGGGATCCCCTCGAGCTGGACTTACAGACAGTTGTGAGGCATGCAACATAGGGGCCAGAAACCAAAATCTGGTACCCTGGAAGAACAGAAAGTGTCCTTAACCACTGAGCCAGCTCTTTGGCCCAAGAGCCTGCTTTTTCTCACATGAATTCTGGTGACTGGACTCATGTCCTCATGCTTGCAAGGAAAGCCCTTTTCTGGCTGAGCCATCTCCCCATTCCCTCACTTTTCTTATAAGAGACAGTTTCACTATAGCCCAGCTGGCCTTGAATTTATGATCTTCCTCCTCCAACCTCCTAAATGCTGGGAGGATAGGCTGTCTCCACCACATCTGGTGTTAACAGGATTCTGACCCCCGAGTGAATCCTGACCCTGAGTGACTGTGGTGTCACCATCTCCTGAGCCCTGTATATGACCTGGAGACTTCCAAGCCCTCTCTGACCTAGGCACTTGGCACAGAGACCCAAACACCTGCAGGACAGTCTCTGGTGCCCCAGCCTGCTGTGGGCTTGATTCTGTCACCCTGCATGCACCCTAATTCTAGAACCCAGATCTTTTTTAAAATTCTATTTATTTTTATTTAAGTATTTTATTTTATACATGCAGTGTTTTGCCTGCATGCATATAAGTGTACCTGTGTTGAGCAATGCTCATAGAGGCCAGAAAAGGGTGTTGGATCCCCTGGAACTAGAGTTATAGACAGTTGTTAGCTGCTATGTGGGTGCTGGGAACTGAACCCAGGTCCTCTGCAAGAGCAGCAAGTGCTCATAGCCACTGAGCCATCTCTCCAGCCCCTAGTACCTGGATCTGGTTTCTTCCAGGACCAGTCCAGTTCCAGAGGCAGGTGTGTGATCCAGGAACCCCCTCTCCCCCATTACAGTGACTCAGACTAGTCAGAGCAACCAGATGAGACTTCCTGAAATTTCTATGCACCCTGCTCATCCCTCGTCACAGTCCTTGGGGACAGGAGGTCAAATCTGGACCTGCTAGAGCCCACCTGCCCCCCAAGAGTGCTTCTGTGAACCCAGAGAGCTAGAAGGCAGAGACAACCAAGCCAGGACCTCACAACGCTGCTTAGACGCCATGCCTGCAGGTAGACCGTGTATGTGAGCACATGCGTGCTTGGTTTGCTCATTCCCAGCTGAGCTGTCTCTGTTGCTTACAAATTGATGGTTAAGATAGCAAGAACAGAGATAATGTTCAGAAATATGGTTCCATCATCTAGACATGAGGCCATACACCATTTTGTTATAAGTTGCTGAGATGCTAAGGCTGAAGATAAAGGGGTTCTGGCTAATCTGGGGCCCCCACAGCACGTGGGCCAGGGCTCTTATTCATTTTTATAGACTCCGAAGGATTAGGTAATGAAGGTGTTGGTATCTGGGGTAGATGGATGCTGAATGAAGGCCACGTAAGTCAGAAGTGAGACAGGAGAGGGGAGCCATTTCCAGCACTCTGAAGTGAGGAGAGGGAAGGTACCTGCTGCCACACACAGCATCCACCTTGGGGACAAAAGGACAAGCAGCTGTCCTTTGTGTGACCCAGCATGGAGAGGGGAGGGGAGTTTGTCACCCCCTGCTCACAACCACACCTGCTCCCAGGGTCACAAGGAGATGGTGCCAACGAAGCCCCAGCAGGGTGGAGAGAAACTCTTTTAGGGGTGTGAGGAGAGACTGAACTAGTGGGCAGTGGTACCCTCCCCAGTGGAACCCACCTGTGTGCAGTCCCTCAGAACTCTCTCCAGCAGATGGGGGGACACCATTCCTTTTCTACTAAGGTGCAACTCTCAAAATACCACCGTGAAATGGGCACGTCTGTCTAGTTCCAGAACATTCTGATCATCCTAAAAGGGAGCCCGTTAGAAGCCACAGATCTTCCTGCCTCGGTGTTCATAGGGTCCTAGGACACAGGACTTCGATATCAGCATAGAATTGCCAGTGTCCCTCCCCTCTCCATGGATGATGCTGCTCTGATTGGATGGGCCCAACCAGCTTTTCCTCTCACAGATGACAACGATAAGGGTTCCTGGGCCTTGTAGCTACTCAAAGGTTTTACTGTGGACAGTTTCCCCAGGGATCCTCAACATCTGTGCTGGCTCCATGCCAGAGCAGAGACACAGGAATGGCCCAACTCCAGATTTCAGGGTCCAACCATGTAGCAAAAGCCAGGAAAAGGCCCCTGGGACAAGCTAAGGGAGTTCCTTCTGTGGAGTAATGGGGACCTCCTCAGACCCATGGAGCTGTCCAAGCACCATGACCCAGGCCCTCAGGCCTCCAGGCCCATGTAACAAACATGTGACATGTAAACAGCAGGATGCCCAGCCCACGCTTAAGGCACTGGGCCCTGGAAATAACCACTGTCAGGACCCAGTGTTCAGCATGGGTGGTTGACCTTCTTAAGGGGGCTTTCAGCTTCAGCTGTTCAAATAGGATGGCTCCTCTTCCCTCTCAAGGGTCCTGCTGCCCTCCCCCCGCCCCGGCTCCCCCTGCTCCCTAAGTGTCCTGCCTCACACAGGAAGGCTAAATGACACACAGGTGATAAATAGACTAACAGTCAGCCCACCTTCCCAGTGAGCAGGTAACAGAGGCTGGGTTCCCAACACTCTGAGAAGTGGTCCCCAAAGACTCCCCTTAACAAAGCTCTAGTACCCAAGGCACCTGACCAGGCAGGTGCAGGAGAGGCAGTGGCTGCTAGCCTGGCCTCAACCAGTGTGGGTGCTAGCCCACAACAGCCCCATTTGGCTCTCCACATTAAGCCCACAGTCATCCTGGGGTCCCTGAAATGGAGGGGATACCTTCAGCCCTCAGAACTCCACAGGCCCAGCAAAGAGACTCTGACAGGTTTGAAATGCTGAGCCAGTTGGAGACCACCAGAAGGGGAACAGAGCCAAGCCTGGCTGCTCTGCTGCAGCTCACCTGCAGAGTACGGCTCCTGTTTCTCAGGGTGGAGGAACTCCTGCCTCTCGTATTTGGCACGAACCCACTGCTCCTGTAGCAGTCTGCAAAGAGAGGGAGGACTCAGCTGGACACCAAGCACTATACTGAGAGACACCACGATCCCAGCCATCCCTGGGCACCAGACCCTGGAAATAATCAGCTATTGCAGCCAGTGGTCAGCATGGGTGGCTGCCGTCAGCTTGGGCTGCTCTGAAGAGATGGCTCCTCTCTATTCAAGGGGGTCTCTGCTACCATGTCTGGGTCCCCCTGCTCCCCCAGATCCTGTCTCACAACCACCCAACAGTCAAATTAGCAGGTGGGACACCTGAGCCCCATCCACCTGAAACAACCCCTCACTCTGTTCTGCAGTGGCTGAACCCTGCGTTAATTTTTAACTGTCAACTTGACAATGGCCTAGAGTCACCTGGGAAGATAGTTTTTAGTTTACTGAGGAATTGTCTAGATCAGGTTTGTCTGTGGGGGATTGTCTTGATTATTAATGTAGAAGACCCAATCCACTGTGGGCAGCACCATTCCTGGGAGGGGGGGTCCTCAACTGTATAAGAGAGGAGAAATCAAGCTGACAGTGAGCAAGCAGGTGAGCATGTGTTGATCTCCGCTCCGGACTGTGATGCGATGTGACCAGCTGTCGGCTCCTACTGCTGTTCTCTCCCTGCTGATGGGCTGTGGCCTGGAGTTGTGAGCTCATATAAACCCATCCTCCCCTGAGTTGCTTTCTGTCAGGGTGTTTATTCACAGCAACAGATATGAAACTAGGACACTATGTGATGTCCATGTGACTTTGGCCACATCTTGACCCCCCCCAAAGCCTGGGCATCCATGTGGGACTTGCCACCATCAAGCCTGCTGAATATCACCCCAAGAGGTCTCAGTGCTATGACTGTCACACAACACCTTCTGCTCTGACCTTCTCATAGCTTTGCTCAGTTATTTGGGCTTGTGAATGTGAGTCTCTAAACTCATGGCACCATCTCAGCCTTCATAGGTGAATGACTGGCTCAGTCTATCTCCTGCCCTCATTACCTTTCCCTGGTCTTGCTAGTCAGAGGCCTTATAAATGGACTCTCCAAAACATAGAGGCACAGCTGGGCAGACAGGTCAGTCCATATACATAAAGTGCTTGCCTTGCAAGCATGAGGACCTGAGTTCAATTCCCGGAAAACACATTACAAAGTTAGATGTGGAGTACTAGATAGCTTTAGTGTCAACTTGACATACCTGGGTTGAGGGAGCCTCAACTGGGGAATTGCCTTCATTGGACTGTCCTGTAGCCATGTCCATGGGGCACCTGCTTGATGAGTGATGTGGGAGGGCCTAGCCCACTGTGGGTGGTGCCACCCCTGGGCAGGTGGGCCTGTGTTGCATAAGAAAGCAGGCTGAGCAGGGGCCAGGGGAGCAAGCCAGTAAGCAGCATTCCTCCATGGCCTGTGCTCCAGCTCCTGCCTCCAGGTTCCTGCCCTGAGTTCCTACCTTGGGCTCCTGGATGAACTGTGACCTGGGAGATGTAAGCTGAATAAACCCTTTCCTTCCCAAGTTGGTAGTGGTCAGAGTATTTTGTTACAGCAATGGAGAAACAAACCAGAACATGTGGTAATGTGTGCTTGCAATCCCAGTGCTGGGGAGTTGGAGACAGAAGGATCCTGGGGCTCTCTGACCAGCCAGCCTAGTTGAATTGGTGAGTTCCAGACCAGTGAGAGACCTTGTGTCAAAAAAGAAAGTTGGGGCTGGAGAGATGGCTCAGCAGTTAAGAGCACTGGCTGCTCTTGCAGAGGACCTGGGTTCCATTCCCAGCACCCACATGGCAGTTAACAACCATCCTGTAACTCCAGTTCCAGGGGATCTGACACCCTCTTTTGAGCTCTGAGGGCACTTACAACATGGGTGCACTTAGGGACATGTAGGCAATACATTCAGACACATAAAATAATAAATTTTTTTTTTGGTCTTTTTGAGACAGAGTTTCCCTGTAGCCCCAGCTGGCCTGGCCTGGAACTCTCTATGTAGACCAGGCTGGCCTCGAACTCTCAGAGATTCACCTGCCTCTGCCTCCCAAGTGCTGGGATTAAAGGTGTGTACCACCACACCCGGCTAATAAAATATTTTTTAAAATAATAAAAATAAAGTGGATAGTACCTGAGAAACAGCATCTGAGGTGTACCCCCAGCTGTCCTGGCCTGGAACTCTCTATGTAGTCCAGGCTGGCCTCGAACTCTCAGAGATTCACCTGCCTCTGCCTCCCAAGTGCTGGGATTAAAGGTGTGTACCACCACACCCGGCTAATAAAATATTTTTTAAAATAATAAATATGGAGGAACAGGCAGGTCTGTGAGCTCAGATCTACATAGCGAGTTCCAGGGCTGCATAGTGAGACCCTATCTCAAAAATTAAAGTTAAAAAAAAAAAAAG